CAGGGCGCGGAGTCTAAGTCCCAGGCTGCCCTTCACCAGGGCCCCTGATGGTGGGGATGGACTTGACGCAGTCAGGAACCAGGTCGCGGCCCCCCAGACACCTCAGTTGCGGTAATGGCCGCCGCCAATGGCGTGTAGCTGGTGGAAGAGACAAAAGAGTAGTCAGACAGGCCGGGGTCAACAACAACAGGACAAAACAGTACAGGACAGCAGACGAGAATCACAGGTCACGAGCCGGGTTCAGCAACAGAGGGTCAGATCAAAGGAGAATACAAAGAATAGTCAAGTCACAAGCCGAATCAGAATACCAGGAGAGTCACGAGAGTCAGAACAGAGTAATAGTAACACAAAGACACAAGACACAAGTGCAAAGAGCATGTGCGGGCCACAGGCTTATATGTCATCAGCCACGCCCCTCTGGGGGGTGGACCTCAGAGACCTGAAGGCATAAAAAGGATTCCCACCATGCACAGCAGAATCCAAGATGGACACCAGCACATGGAGTAACATAACCTCAGGGAAAAGGTAGGACCTTGACAATACAGTGGTGTCACCTCCTCACCTGCAGCTTGCTTTTTGGACAATGAAGAAGCAACAACAAACAGATAAGTCATCAACTATCCTCACTTTGCTCTTTCCTCCTGTTAGCATGTTCCCTGTCACCCCATGTGTATACAGAAGGGACTGATTGGCTGTTTGAGTTGCCCTCCTTTTTCCAGTTGGAGTCAACAGGAGGCTATTATGAACACAGATTCCGTACTTTAAAATAAACATACAACTGAATTAGAGGGTGTTTTTTTTATATCTGCCTGGAGTTGAGCTTTAAGTATGCAGGTTTTGCTTGAAAGAATGTGCACATGTCGGAGAAGGTGATGCTGCTTTTTGTATAGATTTCTTTGAAGTTAAACGGTGGACCAAAGGGAAGACGAGCCGGCGATTCACGTATGTGTATGATTTTCTTTGAAGGGTCTCAGGAATTTTCGCTCTGACAAATGTGCATTTGGTTAGCAGCATATAAATCCTACAGACACCGTCTTTCCATTCACCCGGTACGATGCTTGCTGTACCCTTCTCTGCTTCTGTTCTGTATAAAGTGCCTTTTCATTTTATTTTATTCCATAGCTTTGCTCAGCAACTTGGATGCATTTAAATTACTTCATAATAGGGGATATATGTACCCCCCATGATTGGAGATCTTCTAGCCATTCAATTCTTAAGTTTATTCATTCATCCATTCATTTATAAAGGGTTCAAGCACATTACCGTTTTTAGGGCTCTCTGCTTCTTGAGTATCTTCATTGTCTTACCAACCTTTCCTGTTGTTGCAGATGTTCAATGTGAATATGTATGACAGCATAGTCCAATAGGCACTACAGTTTGATCATGCTGCCTAGTACTCGGAGTGGTGAACCAGGGGTGGTCTTAGTATAACTGTGGGTTTGGAACCCCACTTTGCGAGCACTAGGCCAATACTTGGTTTTTCTGCACTTTTGCCTCACGGGCTAGGCCTTTTTGGGGGTAATCTTTGTTGCCAGCTACATGGTGTTAGCTGCATGGTAGGGTTTGGGTGTTTGGGCCTATGATGAAGTCTATGGGGAGGTTGTATCAGGTTCCTGCCACCCCTGCCTTTTTCTGCACTTTTGCCTCATGGGCTAGGCCTTTTGGGGGTAATCTTTGTTGCCAGCTACATGGTATTAGCTGCATGGTAGGGTTTGGGTCTTTGGGCCTATGATGAAGTCTATGGGGAGGATGTATCAGGTTCCTGCCCCCCTGCCTTTTTCTGCACTTTTGCCTCATGGGCTAGGCCATTTGGGGGTAATCTTTGTTGCCAGCTACATGGTATTAGCTGCACGGTAGAGTTTGGGTCTTTGGGCCTATGATGAAGTCTATGGGAAGGATGTATCAGGTTCCTGCCACCCCTGCCTTTTTCTGCACTTTTGCCTCATGGGCTAGGCCTTTTGGGGGTAATCTTTGTTGCCAGCTACATGGTATTAGCTGCACGGTAGAGTTTGGGTCTTTGGGCCTATGATGAAGTCTATGGGGAGGATGTATCAGGTTCCTGCCACCCCTGCCTTTTTCTGCACTTTTGCCTCATGGGCTAGGCCTTTTGGGGGTAATCTTTGTTGCCAGCTACATGGTATTAGCTGCTCAGTAGGGTTTGGGTCTTTGGGCCTATGATGAAGTCTATGGGGAGGATGTACAGTATCAGGTTCCTGCCACCCCTGCCTTGGGGGATCCCACTTCACTTTGGGATACTCCCCCACCCAGTACTCATTGGTTGGCTTGGGCTGACCAAGAGGAGCAGGCCTTTTGGCTAGGTGGACCTAACTATGACTTGCTCCCGTCAGGAGTCTTGTGTCCTAGGGGGCCAGGGAAGGGTCTTTCCTCTTCAGGAGGGGAACCTGAAACACCCCAATGCACTTTTTTTTTTGTGTGGGGATACATGGCCATCAGGATCCCTCCACACCTGCCTTTGGGGATCTTGTTTTGGCAGAGTCCCCTACCTAGTACTCATTGGTTGGCTTGGGCTAACCATGATGAGTGGGCCTTTTGGCTATGTGGACCTGACTATGCCTTTCCTCTGTCAGCAGTCTTGTGCTTTGCGAGGCCAGGGAGTGATCCTTCCTTTTAGGGAAGGGACCATGAAACGCCTCAGTGCATTCACTTTTTTTTGTGTGTGTGTATATTCACACATGTACTTTTTTGGTTTATGTTGGTTGAACATTGCACCGCAGGCTCCAAAAAGAAGAAAAATTTTACACTAATCTAACAAACCTGGTTGGACATGCCTCTCTCTCGCGCTCAGAGCAACAAGTCTGTTTGGTGATACTTTCTATCTAATAGGGATCGCAACCGCAATCTCAATTAATGTTTAGAAACTAAGCATTCTACCACCCACTTACTTACCCAAATCAAAACTGAGCAATATAGTATATTTAAAGATTGAACCAAAAAAAGAAAAGTCAGCAACTGCTTTAAGACTATGTTCACCCCGTAGTGGTGGAGTAAAGCAAAGGGAGTTAAAGTACATTATACATTATTGTGCAATGTGTTGGGGTAGCATGGTAGTGTATTTCCTTGCATTGTTGTGTACTAAGGTCCATTGGAGTGCCATTAGAAAAAAATGACTCATCGGCACCATAACACGCAGTACATATGCCTTTGACCATCACCTGAAAGGATCTGATGAGTATGACCTATTGGGGAGAGAGGAACTAATGGGGTCCTGTTGCCCTACAGTTGGGTAAAAAAGGAAAGGTAAGTATGTGTTACTGGGTAGAGGGACATTAAAGAGAACCTGTTGCATTGCAGATGGGCAGAGAAGGCAAGGTGATTATGTTTTACAGGGGAAGGGGGACATTAATAAAACCTGCTGCCTTGCTTTGCATGGGCAGACCATGGGTTTGCTTTAAACATCTCCCATATTTAGTTAATGTGAATGTGACTCCCTAGACTTCCAGGAAAGGAATTTCTAATCACTGTGAAGGGATGCATCTAGAAATATGAGGAGATATTCAGTGAGATCATGCAGAATAATAGGAAAGGTTGTTTGCAGGATATATGTGGAAGATTAGTGGGCGAACAATGGGATGATATTTAATATGGAGCTAAGCTATGCTGCCTGTGATTTAGCAGTTGCAGTATAGAAAGGCCCTTTAACACATTTTCTTCCATCATATCCAATTAAAGGGGACTCAATTGTGATATGGTTTCTCATGCATTCCCCTCCTCACCCCAGCAAGGTATGGAGGTCCACCACCTGAACTTCACTTCCTGTCACTGTCAGCGCTCAAGGTACACCAAACTCCTAATCCATTTCCTAATGAAGCCTTTTCACTTCCTCCTCGTTGTTCCTTCACGTTACTCCCAGCAGGCTCATTGGACTAAAATACATTTTTTATAGGGTCATTCCACCCCTTCAGTGCCAAACCTAACAGATGTATGAAGGTGACAGAACAGCAGGGGATGGGAGGGGGCAGAGGAGAGGGGACTTGACAAAGGACAGATGCTGGTGGAAAATTTGATTGCATTAACCACTGCGGTGTCCCGAATCTTCATATCGCACTAGTAGCGTCTGGACGTTCTATTTACTTGTACTGTGTTTACCTACATATGCTCCCCATTTCCCTGCAAGTCTTTCATTGGGTTAATAATTGCCAGATGGGAGTCTACAAGCTGGAAAAAGGTGCATTTGTTTATCCATAGTCAGAGCTTTGAAGATCTGTGGGAAGCTAAGGGGTGATATTTCCGTTTTGCGCTGTGTATATGTATAGATTCATGTATAATGTCACAATTGGCCTGTAGTTTGTCAGCTATCTCATTCTCACACTGTCCATATGGTAACCATCTGATAAAGTGACATAACCATACACAGCTCACTCTGCGATACACTTTATATGATTGCCGTCTATTTCCTGGAACACATGCGTCTAAGAAAGGGAAAACTATGGGTCTCAGAAGCTTTGGGGGAACTGCAACTATTAGCATGCCCTGTTAGGGAATACAATTCTAGGACACGCATGCACAGGCATATGCTTCTCTATGGGGGTGAGCTATCTGATAGCCCAAATAAATTCACACAAATAGACATTCAGTTAGATCAGCCATTCTCAACTTCCGTTGAACCCTAGAGATCCTCCAAAGGTTGCTGGGGGTTCCTTGATCTGTGGCTTACTGACCTACCATCTAATGGTTCCTTTATAGTTCCTGGTCCAACCCCATGATAGCAATGACCATTTTAACTGTCTGTAAAGAAGGCATTCCTCCCAATGACCACCAATGCATGGAGCATTCTTCCCACTGACTATCAATGTAAGGAGCATTTGTCCCATTGATCACCAATGTAAGGAACATTCTTCCCACCGGCCTCCAATGTAAGGGCCATTTTCCCGACTGACCACTGATGTAAGGGCCATTCTTCCTATTGAGCACTGACCTCCAATATACAATGTAAGGGGAATTCTTCCCATTGACCATCAAAGTAAGAAGCATTCTGCCCAATGACCACCAAGGAAAGGATCATTCCTTCTATTGACAACCAATGTAATGGCATTCTTCCCCTGGACCACTAATGCAAGGAGGCATTTTCCTTCTGACTATCAATTTAGGTGCATTCTTCAAACTGACCACCAATATAAGGGGTGTTGTTCTCATTGCATATCAATATAAGGAAAATTCTTCCCACTGACCACGAATGTAAGGAGCATTCTTCCCACTGACCACCAATGCAAGGAACATTCTCCCTGCTGACTCTCAATGCAAGAAGCATTCTTCCCACTAACCACCAATATAAGGGGCATTCTTCCCACTGACTCTCAATGTAAGGGGCATTCTTTCCACTGACTACCAATGTAAGGAGCATTCGTCCCACTGGCTTTCAATGTAAGGATCATTCTTCCCACTGACCACCAATGTAGGGAGCATTTTTCCCACTGATCACCAATGTAAGGAGCATTCTTCTCACTGACCACCAATGTAAGGAGCATTCTTCCCACTGACCACCAATGTAAGGAACATTCTTCCCACTGACCACCAATGTAAGGAACAGTCTTCCCACTGACCACCAATGTAAGGAACAGTCTTCCCACTGACCACCAATGTAAGGGGCATTTTTCCCACTGACTCAATGTAAGGAGCATTCTTCCATTGACCACCAATGTAAGGGGCATTCTTTCCACTGACTACCAATGTAAGGAGCATTGTAAGTGACATTCTTCCTACTGACCACCAATGTAAGGATCATTCTTCCCACTGACCACCATGTAAGGAGCATTGTAAGGGACATTCTTCCCACTGACCACCAATGTAAGGAGCATTCTTCCCACTGACTCAATGTAAGGAGTATTCTTCCACTGACCACCAATGTAAGGGACATTCTTTCCACTGACTACAAATATAAGGAGCATTCTTCCCACTGACCTCCAGTGTAAGGAGCATTCTTTCCACTGACCACAAATGTAAGGAGCATTCTTCCCACTGACCTCCAGTGTAAGGACATTCTTTCCACTGACTACTAATGTAAGGAGCATTCTTCTTACTGACCACCAATGTAAGGGACATTCTTCCCACTGACCACCAATGTAAGGAGCATTCTTCCCACTGACCTCCAATGTAAGGAGTATTCTTCCCACTGACCACCAATGTAAGGAGCATTCTTCAAACTGACAAATGTATGGGACGTTCTTCTCACTGACACTTGAAGAATGAGTTGACTTGAGCTATGAGAAATAGGTATTTAAAGCTGAACCCTGAGCAGATTTTGTTTTAGCATTTTTAAAAATATAATTTTTTACTTTCAAGCAAATTCTTCTTAGTGCATACAGTGCTGCAGCCATTAAGAAAACTCTTTATATCTCATACATAATAAGGACTTAGTGACAGTAGTGTCAGGAGTGAGACCTAGTGTCAGTATAAAGGCCAGGCAACAAGCATGTCCAGATGATGGTCAGCAATGGCAGCTCCTATTCATCTGCCATGAATAGCAGGGCAATACATCACCAATGTCTAATCTGATCAGGATTGGCAGTAAACATCGGTTGCTATGTACTCATTGGACGCACCCACTTCAATGTATGCAGCATATGGGATAGATTCAGAGAATACACTACAACTGCTAATAATCATGCTACATCATAGCCTTCCTGTGGATGAAAAGTACAACCCTCAAAGCATGGAATCAAAGCTCCTGCTGTAATGTGTTTATGTGGCTTTGGGTGTTTTTGTTCAGAAATGAAATATTTATGTCCCCAATTGCTATCAAACTGTAGTCCAATGACATCTTGTAATATCATCACCAACTGCTATTTTGCTGCAGTTGGAGGATGTAGTAAAGCAAGAAATAGTTTGGGTCATGTGGTCTCTTTTTGGCTGACAATAAGGGGTTTATTTAAATGTAAAATGTAATTTAAAAAAAAAAATCACATAGCTGTTCTTCCATTGAAGCTGCATGTAAACTTGTTCTGTGGAACAAAATTGAATGTTTTCAGGTTATATTCTCCACAATTCGAATGTGTGTGAATGTGGAAAATACTTAATTATGGCCAATAGATGGAGCTAAGGAGCATACTTAATTTCTATGATAGTCATCGCCATCTAATGGCCATATTGTAGTATTTTTTGCAATCACATATTCAAACAGCTGAGTATATAATCTTAGAACATTCGATGTTGCCCCATTCTTACAGAACAAAATTACATGCAGTTTTGATGGATGAGTTTTTTTTTTTTAATAAATATACCCCTAAGAATCACAAATTTGGAATAGCTATCAGTATCATGTCTGTTTTTGGCATGTAGATTTAAATGTTCTGCTTCCCAATTTTTTGGGCCTGATGTCTGTCTCTTTGGCAATTAGGACCTGCTCTGAGATCGGCCATGGCCAAACTGCACCAGCCAATAGAATTAAACAAAAATACAGTCTAGCATTATTAAATAGTTAGACATTAAAATAAAAATGTAAAATTAACTGTTGTATGCCATTTTTAATGTAATTTTTTTTTATATAAAATGTATCATTTACAAATACCCATTTAACAAGCGGTGCACCAATGACACTGGTTTTGCAGAGCACTCTGGGTATGCGACAGAGATCACAGCAGTAGCTTTTACTTTTGTGATTGTATATCTTTCATTGAATCTTCATGCAGTGTTCTCTGAACTGAGATGAGGGTCACTCAGACTTTTTCAGCTAGGTGTTAAGGACTTTTTTTCAGCAAAACAGTTCAGATTAGCCTGGTACACATGTGACAAAAAACCCATTGCTCAGGATGCTGGCTGGAAATCTTAAATAAAAGTCATTTATATGCAACATAATGCATGTAGCATTTTAAGTTTTAGTACTGAGCATGATAAATTAACAAAGAAACTATATATAAAGTACTATACACAGGGGCATCCCTAGGGTTTGTGTCACCCGGTGTGGTAACACTTGGTGTCACCCCTCCGACGATCCCCACAGGATGGATTGAGGATAATAGATCGGAGTCCGATCCATTATACTCCCCAATCCGCAGATCCGATCCATCCTGCGGGGATCATCAGCTTGCAACCTATACGGGGTTAGCTGATCTCTCCACGAAAAAGTAAGTTTTAAAGCAAGCCGATGATCCCCGCAGGATGGATCAGACCTGGGGATTGAGCATAATGGATTGGAGTCCGATTTATTATGCTTCCCAATCCACAGATCCGATCCATCCTGCGGGGATCGTCGGCTTGCAACCTATACGGGGTTAACTGATCTCTCCACGAGCTCCACGAAAAGGTACATTTTAAAGCAAGCCGACGATCCCCACAAGATGGATCGGATCTGTGGATTGGGAGCATAATGGATTGGACTCCGATCCATTATGCTCAATCCGCAGATCCGATCCATCCTGCGGGGATCATCAGCTTGCTTTAAAACGTACCTTTTCGTAGAACGGGTTCGGTGTCACCCCGTGCGATAGGTGTCACCCAGTGCGGCGCGCACCCTCCGCACCTGCCTAGGGACGCCACTGACTATACATACCAATATATTATATATAAACATAAGAACATATAAAACGGTGAGAATGAGGATAGAACATAGAATCTTTAATGTTTATTCAACAACTAATTAAAGATTCTATTCATTGTCTAGGTGAAGTCAATTGTTGACGTCTAAACAAATTTGACATTAGATACCATAGAAAAGCATTTGTTTTCAATGTGACCCTTAGAATGTCCTGATGAAGGTTAGAAAATCAACTCCGGCATAGATCCGCTGTCATCAGCTGTTTTCGTATTGCTGGAAGGATTTTTGGAGCTGTTACTGCTCACACCAAAATTAAATGATATTATTAGGGCTCATTTATACGAATAAACAATCGCAAACGCTTTTAAATGCACCTTACTAAGGAAAATAAATAGAAATAAATGAAAAAAAATATTCTAAAAACAAATGCACTGAAAACACATTGCAAATGCATTAAAAATGCACTGAAAATGCGTGCAGCTGTGCATTCAGAAAAGCACAGTGAACACAGTGAATTGTGGTATAAATGAGCCCTGAAGGAGTGAATTAAAAGACGAGAACTACAAAATAAAATATATATTTCAAAATCCTAATAAATAGGCTTTAGATTTTTGTCTAGGGCAGCCTTTCTCAGCATTCTAACTCCAGAGGAACCCTTAAAATAATTTTTAGGTTTCAGGGAACCCCTCTTAAAATCAGAGGTAAAAAATTGAGGGACAATGGAAAGAATGCCCTTTACATCAGTGGTCATTGAGAAGAATGGTCCTTACAATGGTGGTCAGTAGAAAGAATACCCTTTACATTGGTGGTCAGTGGAAAGAAAACCCCTTACATTGGTGGTCAGCTGGAAAAAAAATCCCCTTTAGATTGGTGGTCAGTGAGAAGACTGTCCCTTACATTGGAGGTCAGTTAGAAGAATGCTTCTTACATTTGTGATCAGTGGGAACAATGTTCCTCACATTGGTGGTCAGTGGGAAGGACGCTTCTTACATTGCTGGTCAGTGGGAAAAATGCTTCTTACATTGGTGGCTAATGGCAAGAATGCTCCTTACATTGGTGATCAGTGAGAAGAATGCTCCTTACATTGATGATCAGTGAGAAGAATGCTCCATACATTGGTGATCATTGAGCAGAATGCTCCTTACATTGGTGATCAGTGAGAAGAATGCTCCTTACATTGGTGATCAGTGAGAAGAATGCTCCTTACATTGATGATCAGTGAGAAGAATGCTCCATACATTGGTGATCATTGAGAAGAATGCTCCATACATTGGTGATCAATGAGAAGAATGCTCCTTACATTGGTGATCAGTGAGAAGAATGATCCATACATTGGTGATCATTGAGAAGAATGCTCCATACATTGGTGATCAGTGAGAAGAATGCTCCATACATTGGTGATCATTGAGACAAATGCTCCATACATTGGTGATCAGTGAGAAGAATGCTCCATACATTGGTGATCATTGAGAAGAATGCTCCATACATTGGTGATCATTGAGAATAATGTTCCTTACATTGGTGATCAGTGAGAAGAATTCTCCTTACATTGTTGGTCAGTGAGAAGAATGTCCCTTACATTGGTGATCATTGAGAAGAATGCTCCTTACATTGGTAGTCAGTGGAAAGAATGTCCCTTACATTGGTGATCATTGAGAAGAATGTTCCTTACATTGGTGGTCAATGGTAAGAATGCTCCTTACATTGGTAGTCAGTGAGAAGAATGTCCCTTACATTGGTGATCAGTGAGAAGAATGTCCCTTACATTGGTGATCAGTGAGAAGAATGTCCCTTACATTGGTGGTCAGTGAGAAGAATTCTCCTTACATTGGTAGTCAGGGAGGATAAATCTCCTTACATTGGTAGTCAGCAGGAAAAATTCTTCTTACATTGGAGGACACTTTGCCAAGTGTCATTGGACATGGAATTATGAAGGAAACCTCTAGCAACATCTGGAGGAACCCTGGTTGAGAATGGCTGGTTAAGGAGGTCATGCATTATTATAATTATTACTCTTTTCATGTTTAAATACTGTACATACAACAGGTTCTTAATTGTTTTACACTTTGGGAAAAGTGCATTTTGAGCACGTTGTAAATTGAAAACCTTTGTGACCCCAATCATACCCTTCATTAAACTGGCCTCAGGGGGTCTTCTCTAAGGTTTCGCCAAACTGCTTGTATAGAGTGCAGGCTAGACTGATTACCACAGTTGAGTTCTATGAACTGTCACTCTAATTAAAATGTTTGGTGTAGTTTGCTCTGTACATTTTTCGTAGTGGCACTATATGATTACGCCAGATTTAGGGTCATTTATCAAATGTTGTATAACTTCTGATTCGGTTACTCGTTGTGCGGATTGTTCTAGAAATGATCTAAACTGTTATTAATGGATGTGCACCTAATCTTTGGACAAAAAAAGTATAGGAGGTCAAAAACAGCATTTGGCTGATTAAAAAAAAATAATTCAAATCAAAATTATTTACTGTTTTGGGGTCTGCAAGAAAAATAATTTAAAATGAAGCTCGTAACATGAAATTGACCCCCATCTGCGCCAATATTTATTGGTACTGATAATGTGTTGTTATCTCAATTAGTCACTTAACTGATGTCCTTCATCTAAAACATTTTCAAAGAATTTTGTCTTTGCCATAGAAGTATTTCTCTCCATGACAAATGAGGTGTTTATAAGAAAGACATACTACGGAGGCGGTTAGTATAAACGGCGCTCTGATAATTTGAACCACACCTCCCACAATATTTATCTGAGCGACAAAATGAAATTGGAAAGCCAAGCCTTGTTTATTTGTACTTCATTGCAATCAGCACAATTTTGTCCTTAACTGTCATTCTATTTATACGCTACAAGCACAAACGCAATTTAAAGTGGGACGATGGGCAAAGTAAAAAATGACGTTTATACATACAGTCTGTCACTAGTATTAACACGGCAGTTTTTGTTCTTCTGGACCCCCAACAGTTTTATTACTGGTTGATCCTGGCAGTAAATTTGTTCTTTTTCCACTCCTGTAAACTGGGAAACGCCGTTCATTGTGAATTCATGCCGCAGGGTAGCCATACACAATAAGGGGTGTATTTATATTAAATAAATGTGCATAGCAATTCACCAATTGAAAGTACATGTACATACATTTTGTGCAAATGGGCACCCCCCCTCTCACAACAAATGTTATTAGGCTATTTCTTGAGCTGGTCAAATGTTTTTCATTGATTTAAAACAGCAAATGCAACTTTTGGCCAAAAGATGGCGCTTAGTATCATAGGAAGATACGTAGCACCATCTAGTGGCCAAAAGTTGACAAATGGGAATGTTTTTCATTGATTTATTCACTTGAGTTCTACCTCCTTCATGACCAGTCCATCTTTTGCTATTCGGTACTGTACTACTTAGCTATTGAACGGTCTTGCAACACTGTACCCAAATGAAATTTAGATAATTTTTTTTTTCACACAGATAAAGCTTTTTTTTGGTGGTATTTGATCACTACTGGGTTTTTATATTTTTCATTATTTAACTTCTTGCCGACCGCGCATAGCCGAATGACGGCTTCACCGCGGCCGGCCAGTTCTGAGTGGACGTCATATGACGTCCTCCCAGAACGCGCTCTCCTGCGCGCCCCAGGGGGCGCGCACCCGGCGATCTCCGTGATCGCTGTGTCCTACGGACACAGCGATCACGTGATGTGGTGAAAGGCCGATCCCACCGGCCTTTTACCACGTGATCAGCGGTGTCCAATGACACGCTGATCACAGGGAAATGCAAGTGCCGGTTCTCGGCTGCACTTTCCTCACGCTGTCAGATCGTGAGGAAAGTACTGCCGAGAAACGGCAGTTGTCAGAGCGGGGATCGGCACCGATCATCAGGGCACTGATGATCAGTGCCCTGATGATCGGTGCCCAGCAGTGACACCCGCAAGTTCCGCCCAGCAGTGCGCCCACTAGCCCCGCCCACCCGTTCCCAGCAGTGCCCCCACCTGTGCCCAGCAGTGCACCCACCTGTGCCACTCTGCAGTGCCACCTACCTGTGCCCAGAAGTGCCCCTACATGTGCCCAGCAGTGCCACCCACCTGTGCCCACCAGTGCCACCCACCTGTGCCCACCCACCAGTGCTGCCCACCAGTGCCACCCACCAGTGCAGCCCAGCAGTGCTGCCAGTCAGTGCCACCAGTCAGTGCCCAGGGGTTGTGCCAGTCAGTGCCGCCAGTCAGTGCCCAGAAGTGATGCCAGTCAGTGCCGTCTATCAGTACCCATCATCAGTGTCACCTATCAGTGCCGCCTATCAGTGCTGCATATCAGTGCCGCCTATCCGTGACCCCTAATTAGTGCTGTCTATCAGTGCCGCCTATCCGTGCCACCTCATTAGTACTGCCTATCAGTGCCCTTTAGTGCTGCCTATCAGTGCCCATCAGTGCCGCCTATCAGTGCCCATCAGTGCCGCCTCATCAACGCAAATCAGTGAAGGAGAAAAAATACCTGTTTGAAAAATTTTATAAAAGATACAAATAAACTTTTTTTTTTTTTTCAAATTTTTTGCACTTTTTTTAATTTAAAGCGCAAAAAGTAAAGCGCCCAGTGGCGATTAAATACCACCAAAAGAAAGCTCTATTTGTGAGAAAAAAATGATCAAAATTTCATATGGGTACAATGTTGCATGACCGCGCAATTGTCAATCAAAGTGCGGCAGCGCTGAAAGCTGAAAATTGGCCTGGTAAGGAAGGGGGTATAAGTGCCTGGTAGGCAAGTGGTTAAACAAAAAAAGACCAAAAATTAAAAAAAAAAAACACTTTTTTTTACTATTTTTTACTTTCTGCTATAATACGTATCACCCCCCAAATTTTTTTAAGAATCAAATTTCCTCATTAATTTAGGCGAAAATGTATTCTGCATGTCTTTGGTAAGAACAAATTCCAATAAATATATATTGATTGGTTTGCGTCAAAATCTATGGTATGGCATATATACTGGAATTATTTTTTAAACTACAGGCAGTGGTGTTCAATGACTTATAGTGGGACTGTGATAGCGCGGTGGGGAATCTGACATTAATCACCTGAGCTCCGGAAGGTTTTACCCCCTTCATGACCAGGCCATCTTTTGCTATTCTGCACCACGCTACTTTAACTAGCAATTGCGTGGTCATGCAATACTGTACCCAAATGAAATTTAGATTATTTTTTTTGCACGCAAACAAAGTTTTCTTTTGGTGATATTTGATCAGCACTGGGTCTTTTATTTTTTATTATTTAACCTCTTGGCACTGGCCAAATGCAAATGTGAGGCCTCCCGTCGTCTGGGCCTAGACACCGAGCGACTGCACATTTGCATTCTATTAAAAAAAACACATGTGCAGAGAGCGCGCGCCCTGCATGCTCTTAACACACGTTCGGTACTCACGGAAAGGTCCTGATCTCCTCTTTTGATCGGGACCTTTCCTGATCATGTGACCGCAGTGACAGCAAATCACGGCGGTCACATGACCCTAAAACCCCCACCCCGCCTCCCGGCTTCTGGAACCCTTAAAAGGCCGGGAGGCACAGGCGCCAAGGGGTTAAAAAAGAGCAACAATTTAGAAAAAAACAAAACAAAAAAAACAATATTTTTTACTTTCTACTATAAAATATATTCAAATCGTTTTTTTAAAAGAATCAAATTTCTTCATAAATTTAGGCCAAAATGTATTCTGCTATGCCTTTGGAAAAAAAATAAATGTATATTGATTGGTTTGCATAAACGTTAAACAACTACAAACTTTGTTATATATACTGGAATTTTTTTTATACTACTAGTGGTGGCGATCAATGACTTAGAGTGGGGCTGTGACAGTGCGGCGGGCAATCTGACACTAACTGAAGCTGCGTGGGAACTGAGTAACTGTCAATGATATTACCAATGACACTAATTATACTATACACTGTCACTGGCTGGGAAGGGGTTAACATCCAGGAGTAATTAAAGGGTTAAATGTGTGTCTAATGTGTAATATGTGCTGCTTTTACCAATATATGTGGCTGATTTTTCTCCCTGCAAAACACAGGCTTGTCGATGCTCCGTGTACAGAGCCACATGTTATTAGCAAACAACAGGCATGCAGTGTGCATGCCTAGGTGCTTGATTTTATACACCTCTGGCCATGGAGGTGATTGGAACACCTGAATCACATGATTTAAAGGGCTGGTCCAATACTTTTGGCAATATAGTGTATATAAAACACATCTTTTATATACAA